CCCCCCGCCCCGCGCCATGTACGCCTTTGTGCGCTTCCTGGAGGACAACGTGTGCTACGCGCTGCCCGTGTCCTGCGTGCGCGACTTCAGCCCCACGTCCCGCCTCGACTTCGACAACCAGAAGGTCTACGCCGTGTACCGCAACCCCGAGGAGGCGGCGGCCGACGCGGAGGACGACGAGGAGGACGAGGACGAGAGCGCCGGCGGGTGGCGCGACCGCCTGCTGCTGCACAAGGCCCAGATCCTGGCGCTCGCAGGTGAGCGCCCGCTGGGGGGGACCGCGACCGTTAACGCCCCCCCTTACCCCTCCCGCCCCCCCCAAAAGGGCCTTCCTGCCCCTCGCTGCCCCCCGGGGGGTGTCGCGGGGCGGGGGCGTCGCGGCTGCACATGCCCGGGGCCCGGGCGGCACATGGCGGCGGGGGGGCCCTGCAGAGGGGGAGGACGGCCACCCCCCCCCCCCGCTTCTCCCTCCTTTCCTCCCCTTTTCCATCCCTACCCCCGAGGGAGGGGGGACACACCTGCGCCCTCCCCCCACACGGGCATCCCCAACCCTTCCTCCCWGGGGAGGGTCCCCTCCGTTAGCCCAGGTCCCCAAGGCTCGGCTTCATGGCGACGGCACGCACCCCAATCCGCCATCWAAAGTTAAGTTTGTTTCTTTGTTTATTTATTTATTTCCTCATGCCCAACGTGTCCGTAGCGTGTGGCGGCACTTGTGCCTGGTCCTGTCCCCGGGTTGTTGGCGTGAGGGACCTGYCCCTGTCATCCCTGCGGGCTTCCCTGGCCCCCCGCGCAGGAAAAAGCACCGGTTCAGGGTCTCCTTTAAAAGAACTGGGTCTCTGTGAGGTGCTGCTCGTGTTGTACGTGTCCCCAGGTCGTGAAGCGCCTCGAAGACTTGCTGGAAGGGCTTAAAAGCGAGTAGGCAAAGGGAGAGTCTTGAAAGTTAGCGAGCGAATAGTCCTGCAGTCGGAGTTGGCCTGGAAAGGAAGTTTGATGTTTTTCGTAGCAAGTTGCTGGCTCGACGAAGCAGCTGAACGATGGCAACAGCCATTTGAAGTGTCAGTCTGAGCAGCAAAGAGGACTTCAGGTTTTGATCCCAGTCTTTCCACGTGGGGAGAAATGTGGTGCTCAGGTACAGCACAGGCAAGATATTTGGTGTCTTAATGCTGTATATTGAGTTCTGAGAAGGCAAGGCCTGGTTCTCATCTCTAAAAGGGCCATAAAGTTAAATAAAGGGCCACATTGGCCATTAAGTTAAATAAAGCTAGGAGCAAAGGTGTTTGTTAGTCTTTTTAAGTAAAGGCTGTTAACTAACTAACCAGATCATCCATTCGGTCCTTTTTGCCCCTGTTTTGGATAAGTGACCTGTGATGGGTTCCTGTCTTCAGAAGTGGCCATAAACAGATGCTTGGAAAGAATGAGAAACAGGCAGGCACGAGTGCTCTTTCTGTGTGAAGCTTCTCTGTTTTCAGACTCCTTGCACCTCAAGAAAAGRATAAGAACTAGTGTCATAGCCTAGCACAGGAGCRGAACCTTCCCCGAAGTTTGATTTGTCCCGTGTCAGTGTGTCTGTTGTGTCCCGCCTGTATCAGAAGTGTTGGGATATGAAGAATTTATTGCAGGTTACCTTGGCTCATGATGGTGGTGCAGGGTTTGGCCTGCCCAGAGGCAGGTCCCAGTTGACATCGACCTTCCTCTTCCTCACAGGGGTCTGCAGCAGCGCCGCCCTTTCCATTCATCATGTTCATGGCAGCATAACCAGGATTTCGGTAGAGTTCTTGATGCTCACATCTTGGGCCTTGATGCTCACATCATTTTGCTCACATCTTGGGCCTGTCAGCTTGCCTTAGTTTTCCATGCAGTGCACTAGCATGAAGTACATCTGATTCTGTCTCTTTTCTTGCTTCAAGTGAAGTTTGAGTGTAAGACAGTTTTCTTTTACACACTTTTCCATTGTTTCTCTCTCTCTTGTATTGGAACAAACCAATACGTGCTACTTTCTCCAGAGAACAAAACTTGTTACCTGTATTAATGATTTGCATTAATTGTTCCCCTGAGGTTTTAATTTTTGCAGGAAATTCTCCTGCAGAGCACAGGAGCACAACAAAACACGTAGCTATCTTTATTAAGTCTGTCACATCTCAATATTATCTGAATACACTTGATTTAACAATGCTGTTCAAGTAAGCAAAGATATCCTTACTTACATATATTTTTATGGTAACACATCTGTTCAGTCAGAATTAAGGGTAGTCTGAAAAACTTGTTCTTCCTTTSTAGTAAATGAACCTGAGAACTAGAGGGAAAATAGAGATTCTAGGCCCATGTTACCATTAAGTGGCATAATGATTTTTCATTTGAAGAGTGTTTTTGGTTTCTGTGTTGTTTAAAAATGTTTTTTACATGTTTGCCTGTAGTATAGACTTTTGTTGGACCATTGCTTGTGTAATTCATGAAAGTTCGTGAAACAGTTGTTCTCCTTTAAAATAACCTGGAAACTCTTCTTTGATCTTCTGTGTTTAGATCGGATATTTGGAAACCCGTGTACCTATAGGAATCATTAGCGTTGCTAAAGAGCATTAATGTTTCAAAGGTTAAAGAACAGAAAAGGAAGTATTTTGCCATGCTCAGAAAATCATTKTTAAGAAGTTGAATACCATCCTCTCTAATACTTCAGTAATAAGGAATCTTTAGTAGTAGCATAGCACAGTCATAGAACATCTGTACAGCTTTCCTTTTGCCTGTGTGTCCATGATTGAGAACTGSTGATATTGGTGGCATGTAACTGTTAGCTTAGGAGCCATAGACGTTTTGAAGAAGTTCAGCCAAAGAGTAAAGCTAAAACCACAAAGATTAACCCTGAGACAGTTGGAGACAATCGACTCATAGAAGGCATGTTAAAATGAATATTTTGAGCCGTAACAGTTCATAGATTGGCTAATAAACAACTGATAGTAGTAAAGGAATCATCTTAATTACCTCWTGAATGTAGCTCAGCAGACTTGGGCTGCACTATATATCTGTTTTCTGAGCTGCCATGTTGATGATCTGTCTCATGGAGGATGCAAAAATAGTAGACAGCCTCTCAGGAGGAGTTTGAGCCTGTCTTTCTGTTCATCTACATTCTTCCTTTTTTTCTTCTTTGTGTCCTTCAGTCAAAACACTGAAAATCTGTTTCTCTCATCTGTCTTGTTGAAATATATGTGCCACTTGTAACTTTTTCACACTTGTCCATCATGTTCAGTGGCAGATTTTTTGTTGTAAATATGTGCTTTTTGTAGGAGATAGCATTTGTGATCCTTAGAGAACCCTGATGGAGGTCATGCTTGCTTTGCAAATTGATGAGTATTTAGTGGAATGCACAGAGATTCACAGACTTTTAAAGCTCTCTACTTCAGGTGACAGTTGTTATCAAGTTAATAGTGAGTGTCTTCTAGCTGGAGGTGTGCTTTCCTGATTACAGTAAATAATTCTTCTCTTTAGCTCTTGCCCTCAATAATTTGCACTGCAACAATCATGACAAACACATCTCCATCAGATTYCAACTGCAATTCCATAGCTGCAGCACCAGGAATGTTAATACCTCCATGTGCCCAYGTTCTTCCTTGCCCCTTAGAAAATGGTATGCTCCATTTCTTGTTAAAGTAGGTTAGATTTTTTTTTTTTAAATCTTCAAAAGGCTGCACASCTCATGATGAAATAATTTGCAGTGTACTCTGGAAGGATATAAAGTCTCTGTTCTCAGGATTATTTTAAACTAAATAACTCTAGGAGGTCTTAATGCTGAATTTTGGGGAAGGTAGAGGGTGGATACTGTGACAGAGCTCAGCTACCTCCCACCACCCTTCTTCTCTTCAGCCTGACCAGTGCTGACCATGAAGAGCTGGGCTATACTAGTTGCAGCTGGTGTGGCAGGAAATGGGCATGAGATCTTTCCCAGCTAGGCATGTTAAATTCATGCAATATTCAATAAWTTTATTTGCATTAAACCCAGAATACCCCTCCTTCCTACACTCTGCCCTAGTTATCATTGTGTTGGCTAGTGAGCTTGCAGCAACCTACATGTGGAGATGTGGAGGAATGCCCCAAGTTCTCACCCAGGTACATTGACAGTCATTTCTATGATTGGGAGACTTGGAAAGGCAACTAGACTAGTTAGGGGTAGGAGTAAGGACAGCCAAAATAAAGGCGAAATTYCAAAAATGACGAAGGCTTGTTTGGAAGCAGCTTATGCCTACAGGGTGTAGGGAGGTAAAGAACCAGCTCCCTTCTGAAATGAACTGCAGACTCTGAAACAGCAGTGTTTGCTGCTGCAGCTAGGAAATGATTGAATGGGAGGACAGTTGAAGCTGAACAAGATAAAAGGAAGACTTGAGGTGATGCTGGCAAAGCAGTCTAAAACTTTTGACCTTGTCAGAGTACACTGAGTGCTCGCTGATCCAGAAACTTGGGGTGGAGACATCTAGTTTGCTCCAGATAATGTTCATTCCCTCTCCCTTTACCCCTCTCCTAGTAGAGAATGGGGCAGGAGATACAGAAGAGGATCCATCCATGGAAAGGATAGCCCCTATAGTAAAACACAAAATCACTATGGAGCCCTAAGGAGGCAACTGGCAGGAAGCTACTTGTGCTGTTTGACCTCTTTTCACTAGTGAAGCTCCAGGAAAAATTCTCTTGAAAATATGGAGAAATGGAGACAGATTGAGTAATAAAAATTAGCAATGGGGAGGAGATAGGCCAATARTGGACAGGATGGAGACAGAAGGATTCCAAGGACCAGGATTTTTCTTCACAGCAGGCCCTCCTGCCAGGGGTTGCCTTCCTTGTCTGACTTCCCAAGCTGACTTTTGTGCAGGAGGACTCAACCCCTGTGATCAAGGGGAACTGGTCATGATCTGCATCCACACTGTATTGGGATTGCCTGCAGCAGTAAATAAGRCTTCTTGTACACAGGTGCTTGGGGATGACTAGACCACTTTCCTGTATCCTGCCTGGTGAATCTAAAGCTGTTGATAAGAAGATTGCCAAATACCTTGAAGCCATATTTAATTCAAGAGAAGGAGGAGGTAGTGTGCTCTCTGACGGTGTAGAAACCTCGTCATCAGTAACAATCCAAGTCCATACCCACATGGCCTGATCTCCTATACCAGGTGGTCACCTGTGGRTGGGAAATGGAGTGGGATGAACCCCTGAAAGGCCTCAGCACTTGACAGATAAGGAAAGCGGTCAGAATTGTGGTTAAGAGGGAGGGAAGTCCGTC